AGTACCCTAGTAAGCAAAGAAGCCATATAATTGATGAGGGTTTAGAGAGAGAGTTAAAAAGGCACAATAATAATGACCAACAGAATAAACAGGATGAAAAATATCAACCAACCATAAAACAGAAACCAATTAAGAGGGGGTTGGACAATACACATTTATATTGTCATTTCTTCACTCAACACTATTCCTTGACTATCTGGTATGTGTGGCACTGTGTTAGTTCTAGTGAGAAGAAACATTTATGGTCAGGTGATATGTGCTATGACAGAGGTAAACTCAGAACTGAGGGAGCTCTTTGAAAAGGCAACTTCTCATAGTGGAAGTAGAAAGTGGTGGTCAGAGAAAGAGACTTCCAACTAAGAACAGAGGTTAGGCATTTAGAGTGAGAAACTATGGTGTCTTTTATTGTCTTATCATAACCGAAGGTTTTCGATTCCAAATGCATTAGGAGAGCAAGAACGTGTTATTAAAATGTAGGTACATGTTTATAAATAACATCCTGTGTCTGGGAAGTTATCCATGAATTAGCTATGAGAAATTGATAAGGGTTTGAGTTCAAGTTCTGCTATTCACTGTCTGTGTTGGGTGGACCCTTAGTTTTAGCCACTTTTACAAAATTACCAAAAGAAAACAAACTAAAAACTGTCACATATGTGTCTGCATTACATATACTCTAAGGCTACCAAACAGGGGCTGTTACTCTTGAATTGAAGACTGCATCTAAACTTGACATAATAGGGCATTTGTTCTCAATGTAAAATCTCCTACAGTGAACAACACAGAAGCAGTTTGAATACTGATTCTATCTAAGCAGTGGCATATTAAAACTACATTTAACACCTTGCATTTTGTTCTGACAAAATAATGAGAAAGATGTGAGACATGTTAATCTGTTAATCCCATACTTTATAGCCTTTATGATTAATTTAAAATACTCTGCCTGCTTAGATTCTTCTGCTCTCCTCAGAGACTTCTCTCAGACATGCTAAATAAGCCTAATCTTTTTTAAACTAAATTCATTTCTAATTAAAAATATAGTAAGATTACATAAATTAGATATATTTTATTATTTTAAGATATATATATATATCCCCAGCTTTTATATAGTTCACATTCTGATTACTATTTGTTTCAAGAGAACTCAGTAGCACTAGAAGAAGGCTGGAAAACAAGATTTTTTTCTAGTATATGCACACAGGCACTCCATTGAACACTCAGGAATGCTACAAGTTAGGAAACATGGAGAGTGGAACTATTTGCGCCACAGGTTGAATGTGGACACTTTTCCACTTATCAAAGATGTTATTTGAGATGGAAGTTCATCATGACCACATGAGAAACTATGCTGACTCACTTCTCAATGAAACTAGTAAAAACTGTTTTATAAAACAAAAGCAAAAACAATGATTTGGGTACCCTAAAAACAGTACTGAGGGCCCACAGCAAATGAAGAAGCATTTATGCAAAAACATCTACAAAAATATGATCTATAAAATTTGACCTAGACTACTCATTCTGTTGCTTCTCCCAGCCCAGCAAGGTGGAGCCTCTAATACAGACTCTTGCAGCCACAAAGACATGGCTCCCTCTTCCTATAGTGCTAAGATGAACAAATTTCTTCCAGGAAAGGGCAGAACATCAGTCTTCCTCATCTTGCCCCAGCTACCTGTTGCTGAGGCTAAGTTCCTGCAGAGTGTGGTTGAGAAGTAGGGACTCTTCTGCCAATCTCCACTAGTGGAACAGAGGTTCTGTCTTAGAAGTAGCATACTGGGAGTATTGGAACAACCATGCCAAGAAAGGCAAGCTGAGAAGTTCCCAGGCTAAAGTCCATTTTACCCACTGAATGACAAGCTTCTAGAATGGAGGTGTCACTCATCCATTATTGTCCCCATCCATCCCAACTCCAGAGTCCTGGCTCAAAGGTCTTGTCTGGGGGGAGGGGGGGCCGGAAACATGCCATACAACAGATAGCTCCTAAACTCTTCCCAAATAAACTGACTTCATTTGTGAACCTAACCAATTGTACCATTAGGCAACTGATTTTTCCCTTAGTACAAATATTGAAAATAGAAATAAAGAAATGAGAGGATTCACTTTGCTTCTTGAACGTAAGAGCTACTTTCTCTGATTCATCTTTCTTTAAACAGTTGCATTGAGATATAAGTCACGTACCTTAAATTCACTCACACAGAGTACATAGTTCAATATTCTATGATGTGCTACCATCACCAAGTCAATTTTAGAATGTTTTCATCACCCCAAAAAGAAACCCCCTACCCTTAACTATCATCACTCCAATTACCTAATCATCCCCATCTTCCAGCCTTAAGCAACCATTAAACTAATTTCTACCTCTATAAAGTTAACTGTTCTGGACATTCTTATGAATGGAATATATAATATGTGCTCCTTTGTAACTGGTTTCCTTCATGTAGCATAATGTTTTCAAGTTTCATCCATGCTGTAGCATGCATCAATACTTTGTTCATTTTTATGGTCAAACATTTTGCTTAATAGCTAAACCACATTTTTTTATTCACTGGTTTATGGACATTTGGATAGTTTTAACCTTTTGGCTATGATGAATAATGCTGTTATAAACATTTGTGTACAATTTTTGTAGAATGTAAGTTTTCAGTTTTCTTGGATATATTCCTTAGAATGGAATTGCAGGATCATATTTTAATTCTGTTTAATCATCCAAGGAACTGCCACATTGCTTTCCAAAGTGGCTGCACCATTTTGCATTACCACCAGCGTTGTCTGAGGGTTCTGATTTCTCCACATCCTCACCACCATTTGTTATTACCTGACTTTTGGAATCTAGCCATTCTAGTAGGTATGATTCCTATCTTATTGTGATTTTGATATGTGTTTTGCTGATGACTAAAGATATAGCGCATCTTTTATGTGCTTATTGGCCATTTGTATATCTTTCTTAGGGAAATGTCTACCATATCATCTGACCACTTTAAAACTGAATTATATGAATTGATCCATTTTATCTAAGTTATTAAAGTTTTAGGCATATGTCTCTGGGGCGTGACCTTCACACATGCATCTCTATTTCCACAACACTTTCTTCAGTCTTAGGTAAGACACAAAGTCCCAAGGGAGTTAAAGTGGAAGAAATGTACTTCCCCAAACTAAGATATGCTACAAATCTTTGGTACAGTCTTTTCCTTGGAAAGTAGACCCTTGTTATGGTGAATGCTGTCGGTTTATTGCACAATAATTACTCTTCCTCTTTCCTGAGCCATAAGGAGATGTTTCTTATATCTTCACAATGAAAACCTGGAGGAACTCTGAAAAATAATAACCACGAATGTATGGGATCCCCAAAAATGCAGCTCCCAGGAACTTTTTCCATCACACTGGTCCCCACTCAGCCTCCAACAAATCATCAAAATTACCATTTGAGTCTTCTCATGGTGTCATGTTTTATATTTGTATTTTATTTTTAATTGACAGATAATAATTGTATATATTTGTGAATAAATGGGATGCTTTGATATATGTTTATATTGTGGAATGATTAAGTCATGCTAAGTAACATATTCATCACCCTACATGCTTACCAATTTTTGAGAACATTTAAAATCTAATATTTAAGCAATTTTGAAGTATATACTGTATTATTATTAACATTCACCTTTCTGTGCAATAGATCACTAAACCTTATTCCTCCTGTCTAGCTGAAACTTTGTCCCCTTTGCCAACATCTTCCCTTTCCCTATCCACCCCTCTCCACAGCCTCTGTAAGAACCATTCCACTCTCTACTTCTATATCTACTTTTTTAGATTTCATATAAGAGTGAGATCATGTATTGTTCATCTTTCTGTGACTGACTTCTTTCACAGCATACTGTCCTTCAGGTTCATTCATGTGGTCACAAATGACACAATTGCCTTTCTTAAGAGTGATAGAATCCCATACTTTATATATATATATCACATTTTCCTTGTTCATTCACCTGTTGATAAACACTGAGCCTAACCTCAGTTTTTTTATGTTTCCAAGAAGAGTCATCAATTTCCAACTTGATCAACATACATATGACTGAACAGGAATGGTGAGTTCCAAGCTCTTTACAGGTTGGAGCTAAAAAAGGAAGAATAAGCAATATGTTTATTCTTTTGTATTGTTGAATAGTATTCCATTGATAAATATAACACAGTTTGTTTATTCTTTCTCCAGCTGATGAATCTATAGATTGCTTCAAGGTTTTGGCCATTATGAACTGGCTCTTGGTGGGCATAAGCAATTATTAATTCCATAATTCAGGTTGAATTCTATAATTCTAGACTCAGACTGAACAACAGATCACAATAATGCATCTGTATAGAGTTTAATCTTCTTATTCAATTGAATAACCTGCATTATAACCAACTTTATTACCTACGAGGCACTGGCTGACTCTACGTTCTATATAGAAAACAAACTTGAACAGAATACCTAACTTACTCTTGGTAGACTTCTTTCTGAGTACCATCACTTCTTATAGAATGAGCTATGAACTCAGGTATGCATAAAAGTAACTTTATTATCCTAAAACTATATTTCTTGTTGAGTCATCAGTTGACTTGGTAACAGCATATGCAATATTAGTCATTTCCAAGTAAACTCAATTGACTTAGGATTTTACCCAGTTAATAAAAATTGCCCTATCCACATGTCACTTATCTCCCTGATATTCTCAGCCCTGGGGTGTAGAGTGCCATTACATTGGAGAGGAGGTGACATCTTGATCTGCCTTATCTGGCACTTGCTGAAATGAACAGTCTTCTATAGTCTTTATCTAATTGGTGTTTTTAAAAAAATGTTCATACTATTTTCTTATACTTTGTCAACTGGAAATTTTATCTTCTAAGTTGTAACAAGTTATTATCAAATACCTGGAAATATTTTTTACTTAAAACTTAAACTACAGTACACATGTCTGAAAATCCTGTTCTTTCTAACTCAGGTTATAGCAAATCATCAGGAATACCTGTAACTGATTCACTTTGCAGTAGTGCCATCTACCTAGCAAAATATTCTGTGCCAATAAAATCATCTGATATGGACTACTTCAAGGTCAGTATAGAATACATGTCAATTTTTACTCTTAAGAATGTTAATCTTTAATAGATACAAAAACACAATTAGATAGAAGGAATAAACTCTAGTGTTCAATAATACAATAGGGTGAATAGTTATCAATAATTTATTGTATATTTCAAAATAGCCAGAAAAGAAGATTTGGAATATTTTCAGTACAAATTACAGATGTTTGAGGTGATGGATATCCCAATTACCCTAATTGAATCATTTCACATTGTATGCATGTATCAAAATATCACACATACCCCATAACTATGTACAGTTATCATCTATCAATAAAAATATACATACTTCAATAATAAATTTTAATGGCTACTCAGAAAAAAAAAAGGAATGTTTACCTGTATTGTGGCAGTCTCTATTTATCCTCAGTGCAGAGAAGATTAATTCTCCTCTCTCACTATCATTCCTTATGAAGGGCTATTCTTACCAAATTTTATTGGACCTACTTTTTACAATCATCTAATTTCTTCCAACTTCCCTCAAAACACACACACACACACACACACACACACACACACAAAGTTTGAGAGATTGAAGCATTCTGCTTAAATCCTAGCTTCTGAATTTTTACTGGAACTCGTTAAGATATTAACAAGGCATAAAGATGAGCATGTCTTCTTAGAACCGGGAAAATCTTAGAATCAATGAAGTCAGTTCAGAACTTGTCACTAGCCAGTCCATAAAACATCTAGGAAATTGAGATTCATTTGGATTGTTTTGAGATAGTTTATGATAGTCACATTTAAAACACTTTTAGTTTTCAGAAGTTTTTAATTTAACATAAACTTAGGAAGCATGATAGATGTGAAATCACAAAATTTTCAAAATAACTGAGTTTATACAATGATTAGTATGGTGTTTGTTAAATATAACAAACAAGTTGTAAATTGAAGGTAATTTTTCTGAGTTTTAGTTTCTTCAATGTTAAAATTGTGCAAGAGGTGAGAAATTGAACTAGATAACTTTAAATCTTTTTATTCAAAAATTGTGTAGTTTTTACTTGTATTTACCTCCATGGGAACAGAGGAGGAGGTAACGCTTACAAAGCTACAAAGATAGGAAAATGGCAAAAGATATATAATGACAGATATATCTCTGGCATGTTTGGGAAACAGAAATTTGATTATAGTAGAGAGTTTATGTTGAGATTAGTATAAAATATAGCTCTAAAGGTAGTTTGCTGAAGAATTATAAAGACCCTTGAATGTTAGGCTAAAGAATTTGTGTTTCATTCCACAGATAATGGAGAACTATTGCAGGGATTCAGTTTAAGGTGAGTGTAATAATTATTTTTAAAAGAATGATCTGGTGTTAACAATTAGAAATGGATTAAAAGGGAGACAGGCTGGAAGAAGAAAAATAAGCCTAGGGGATGTTTTCTAAAATAAATGCAAGCTAGCAAGGTGATATCATAGAGTAACAAAAATTCACAGAGTAGCAAAAACATTTGGAGAAAATAATCAGTGAATCTGGCTGGCATATAAAGCTAATGGCAAGAAAGCATCAAAGAAAATTCTAATTTTATGTTGGAAGAATTATAGTTTTACTTAGTTCAACATGGAAGGCATTTACAGAAAATAGAAAATAAGGGTACAATTTTAGATACTTTTAATTTGAAGCATAAATAGATATGAGAGAGAAAATATGCTGTGTGGTGGAAAATGCAAGCCTGGGTAAGAGATCAGAGATGTGTTTGTTTTAATTTCAAATACAAATTTACTAAAAAATAGAGATAAAATATTAAAGTTTCAATTTGAATACCACATCTGAAAAACTGAAGGGAGATATTCATTCATATTACTTGGCATGTTTTTAATTTTTACTCAGACATATTAGTTATATTCTGAATTTAATCATGTCTCCTTTATCCATGTGCTTTTCTAGAACACTGTAACCAATGTCTTCTGAATTGGCAGAGCTTAGCTTCATAAATGAATGTTTATTATCAAAGGGTAATTTTTGCCATGTAAGTAAATGTTCCCATCAAATACCTCAAACAGAAATGAGAAGTGCTAATTTTTCTAGCAAAAGAGTTCTCTGGATACATTGTGCCAAGGAAAATGGTTGAAGGCAGTAAGAAAATAATTCTTTTTTATGGAACTCATTGGTTAAGTCACAAAGTAGTTAATTTAATAATTGTGGGTAACACCGTAATATAATCTGCTTTCAAATCAATGTAAAATTTTTTTTTTTTTTTTGCCTTTTAAATTAAAAAAAATTTTTTTTTTTTGCCTTTTAAATTTTTTTCAGAAAATGTAAGTGGTCAGGTCACACAATTAATCTAGCTTCTTCAGTCTCCTCATTTGTGAAGTGAGAGAAGTTGGAATCACAGTCGCATTCCCCTATGGCTCGTACATTTTATTATATATAAACACTATTTTATTGCGAAAACAGAAATAATTTCTTAGTGAGCATTTCAGGTATACTAAGAAGTATACCAGAAAAAAAATGCCAAGAAATTCTAAAATCAAGGAATTTTCTCATTAATATCACTTGGAATTTAATTTACACAAGGTTTTTTATCTATAAAGCTTGGGGAGTTTCATGACTATAATAATCATAACTTTCTTTTTTTCTTGCATTTTATTGTATTTTAAAGATGTGTAGTACAATTCAGGATTAGGAATACAAGTGGACATCGTACAGGTAAGTTTGGGCCTCCCTTTGGTCCTCACTTTGCCTGGTTTGAGATCAGGTACCCCTATTGATGTTGTCTCCCCACCTCCACCCTGGCAGTATCCCACTACTCTCAATCCCTTTCTTATAGTATGGTAAATAGGGTCCGCTTATGAGTGATAATCACAACTTTCAAAGAGAGAGAATAGGAGCAAATATCCTAAACCCTATCTCATTTGACATAACAGGTCAGTTGTCTCACCTACCGTCCAAGTGTGAGCCTTACATCAAGTGTGAGCATAGGAATCACCTGGATCTTGTTAGAACTGCAGACTCAGACTCTACTCTAAACCTGCCAAATCAGAATCTGCAATTTAGCCAGATCCCTGGGTGATTCCTATACACATTACAAAGCTTAAGAAGCAGTGATATAAAATCCTATTGGATCTGCACCCAGTGCATAGGGAAATTCATATCACCCACCTGTAGAAATCCTACCTGTCTTGTCTCCAGTTAATTACATTTGACGATGCCACTCATCCTAATGTCACATAGTAAAAGAAGGTATATGAAACTGAAGAGGTTCTTCATGAAGGAAACAGCTTGAATTAGACATCATTTAAGAATGATACAGATCATTTATAGCAACCTCCTTCACTGTAGCCAAGAAATTAGTGCCTAGAGAAATTTAGTTTAAAATCTTAACCAAGGTCCTTTATTATTTGTTGCTTCAGTCACCAGGGTAAAAACAACATGAATCCAGAAAGCTATACAGAAGACACATATGTCCTTATTCATTTTGCAATAAATGTTCCACTCTTTTACTTGCTGTAGAAATTGCCTTCAGTTATACATAACAAACAATTTTCTGCCTAAGCTTCATTAGGCTTTGTTAAAATTTAGGGTTGCATCTATACTGTAAAACTAGTAAATTGAGCTTTCTTTAAAAGGTTTTTTTTTTAAAAATTGCTATGGAAAAAATAGGGGTAAGGTAATAATAAATAAACATTTATTGAATATTTTCTCCATGTTAAGTGCTATACGAGATGTTTTATATAAAGAACCAATCCCTAAAATGTTAAACTTGAAATCTGTTCTCTAATTATATAAATATTGCATTACTGTGGTCTGTTAGCCTATACAAACATAGCTTTTTAATCATTTGAGAACATAAAAATGTATGTGTTTAAAACTTTGCTTTATTATTGATGTCAACTTGTTCCCATCTCCCCAATTAGGAATTATTCATAAGATACCTAAAAGTAGAGGACAAGTTATCTTTATATTACAATATTCAAAGTGCCTGTCTCATATCTTAAACATAGAGATTGTATCTGAGTTCCTATGATGATATTGATAGGAATTATGATACCTGGAAGCATCTTGGAACTATAATTAAAATCACTTTGCAACCTAAGTTTCACTATTGTGAAAGATATTATTTAGTTATGCAACACTTCATTTCATGTGTATCTGTTGCTTGCCTTCTACTGGTCATACAATTTCAATAAAGACAGTGTGAAAATAAGTAAACAGACAAAATTAAATAATTATAAATTGTGAAAAGTACTATGAGGGAGGAAAAAAGCATGAGATCATTATAAAAAACTATCAGGAGAAAGAGTTCCTTTTCTGGTGTGGACAAGAAAGATTCAACCAGAACAACCCTTCTGTAGATAGCAACTATGAACTCTGAACAAAATATACAGTCTTTGTCTTACCCGAAACCATGTTAAGTGAAAGTCATGCATATCAGAACCATGTCACTGCTTTACACAGTTCTATAATATCTTTTAATGTGCAAAGAGAGGACACTTTACAAAATTCAGGGTTTTTTTTTAGCACAATACTGCATATAACAAGGACTGCTTTTATAACAAAACAATCATCTGAAAGAATAAACACAATCAGATGTATACTGGAGGCAGTCAATAGTTTACAAAATGGAATAACACAGCAGATTTTATCTGTAATACAGCTCTTAGCCTAAAAGAATGCTGCAGTAGGCACCATGCACAGACTGGATAAAATAGGCATTTTAATCTAAAAGAAACAAAGGACAGAGTTCAAGGATACCACAATTTCTGGAAAGCGAGGGAAAAACTCCCAGAAAGGAAAGGCAGAGAAAAGGACCCCCAAATTCTGTAGGCAATCTGTGCAGAGCCCGAAATCATGCATGTGTGAGGCAGACTACAGAAGCTAGCTAAAGATGAAAGAACTAAACTGGGGGTTGAGCGGTTGCAAAACAGTGTTTGCAGCTTGAGTTCAACAAAGTTTACTGCCTTCGGAAACAAACAAATGAAAACAAAATCAACACTCTTTGAAAGAATTTTTTAAAAATAGGTTCTTCCCAATATTATATATGCAGTGTTCAGATAAAACCCCAAAATACAAGCAACAGCCACAAATATGTGACCTATTCTTAGGAAAAAAGGTATGGAAACCAACCTCAAGATGATCCAGGCTTTGGGATTAATAGACAATAATTTTATTGTAACTATGCTCAATGGCATAAAAGAAAAAATTCTCACAGTGAATAAAAGATAGAAAATCTCAACTAAGAAGTAAAATATAACTAAAACTAAATTCTAGAACTTAAAACTAAAATGTATGCAATAAAAATTCTAAAGATAAGCTTAACAGCAGAGAGGAGATGATAAGAAAGTGAGACAGTAAACTTGAAGATAAATGAATATAAAGAATGCAACCTGAAAAATAGATTGAAAAAATGAATATAGGTTCAGTTTCCTGTGGGACAATAGCAAAAGATTTAACATGCATGTAATTAAAGTTTAAAAGGAGAAAAGTAAAGGATTGGAAGAAGAAATAATAGTTGAATACACAGTGATTGACTATATCTACAATTTGTTAAAACACATATATTTACAGAGCCCAGATTTTCAAAAAGCCCCAAACAGATGACATATATAAAACACAAAAATCAAAAACAAACAGCTGGGCTTGGTGGCTCAGCCTGTAATCCCATGCTTTGGGAGGCTGAGGTGAGTGAATTGCCTGAGTCCGTGGGTTCGAGACCCGCCTGGGCAACTTGGTGAGACCTCATCTCTACAATAAATCAAAAAATCAGCTGGGCATGGTAGCGTGTGCCTGTAATTCTGGCTACTAGGAAGGCTGAGGCGGAAAGATCGTCGGAGCCCAGTGGGTCGAGGCTGCAGTGGCCAGGAGCGGCCTGCACTCCAGTCTGGGCAACAGAGTGAGACTCCAACTCAAAACAAACAAACAAACAAACAAACAACACAAAACACTTATGTGGATATCATAGCTCAATTGATAGAAACCAAGGATTCAGAGAAAATCTTGAAGGCAACAAGATGAAAGCAAAAAATTATGTATAGGGGAATAATGACTCAAACATATTGATTTCACATCACAAATAATATAGAATACAATAGAATGAAACAAAGTACTGAGGGAAAAAGTCAAACTGTCAACCTATTGCCTCATAACAACAGAAAATAGCCATCAAAAGTTTTTTTTTTTAATCTTCCCTATTTGCATTAGTTTTCTGCTGCATAACAAATTGCCACAAACTTAGAAATTTAAAACAATACCAACAGTCTGAGTATAGCATGGCTTAGCCATGTTTTCTACCTAGAGTTTCTCAAAGCAGAAATCAAGGCAAAAGTTAAGGTGGAAAAGAAGAAGTAATTTCATTATCTGCAATATAAGAAATGTTAAAGGAAATTTATTGGGCTACAAGGAAATGATACCAGAGAGAAACGCAAATATTCAAAGAAAGAATATTTTAAAATAGCAAATATCAGGGTAACTAAAAAAGACTATTTCCCCCTTCATTCTTTTAAAATGTATACTACTGCTTAATATATATACATAACAAATGAAATATATATCGAAAAATATATATTTTATATACAATTGTCTTCTGAGTTCATTGATTTGGAAGTGGTTTGTCCCTGCCAAAAACTCATGGTGAAATGTGATCCCCAATGTGGTGGTGTTGGGAGGCAAGGCCTAGTGGGAGGTGTTTCATCCTGGAGGTGGATCCCTCATGAATGACTTGGTGCTGTTCTCAGCCTAATAAGTGAATTCTCACTCCAGTGAGACTAGATTTGTAAGTTCTCCAGAAATTGATTAGTTCTCTTAGGAGTGGGTTGCTAGAGAGCCAGGATACTCCTCAGGTTTGGCCTCATAACAGGTGTCCACTTCCGTTTTGACCTTTCACCATGTTTTGGCCCAACACAAAAGCCTTCACCAGAAGCTGAGTGCCATGTCCTTAAGGTTCCCAGTCTGCAGAACCATGAGCTAAATAAATCTATGTCTTTATAAATTACCCAGCCCCAGGTATTCTATTATATCAACACAAAATAG